CAAGACTCTATTCCTTCTCATAGAGTTATAATTACTAGAATGAAAGTTTAAGCATGGTATTACAGAAATGCAGAAGAGATTAATTCTGATCAAGAAATCTAGGAATGGTTTCTGGAAAACATGCAACTGTGTTCTCCTTTAACAGGCAGATGTTATAGTCAGGGCACGTCAAGGAAGAAGAGTAGAGATGAATAAGCAGGAAACTTGGGTCACTAACTGTGAAACCATGAGCAAATCACTTTACTTTCTGATCTAAATAATAAATGGGGAATAGAATGTGGGAGCACTAGCCCTATCTGCACTTAGTTTCAAATGAGATAATATATGGAAAGGGCTTTGTAATTTCAGAACATGAGAAATGTTGTAATGGAGGTGGACATTTTGTCTAGTGGTTAAGCCACCAGCTTGAGCCCTCGCATCCTGCTTTGGAGCACCTGACTTCAATTCCCACCTCTGGCTCATAACTCTAGCTTCCTGCTAATGCAAACCCCAGGAGGTAGCAGTGATAGGGTTTTTGTTTCCAGTTCCTGGCTGCCCCCACCCCCCCAGGCTGTTGTGGGCATCTGGGGAGTGAACCAGCAAAGAGGAGTATACACTCTCTCTCTGCCTCTCGTATTAAAAAGATGTAAAATATACTAATGATGGTGGCAGTGACAGTGAAAAGATGAATGGTTTTTATTGTTAGCCCAGTGGAAATCAAATATCAGTTCATACTCCCTTGGATACTTTCCTGGATTATTCCTCTTTGTGGACTAACAGTAGACTTTTCCAAGCCAGCTGGCCAGTATTCCTGTTGAAAGTAATGTCTGACGGTTTTTAAGGAATTTTAAAAAATGTAGTTGAGAAGCAGAGATATGGGGGGAGGCTCTCATCTCCTAGTTAACATCCCAAGTGCTTGCAACAGCCCCCAACTGGGGCCAAAGCCAGAGTGAGAACTCGGTCCCGATCTCCCATATGGGTGGCAGGAATCCTATCATTTGAGCCATCACTGCTGCATTAGCAGTCAGCTGGAGTCAGGAGAGGAGCCAGGTATCAAACCCAGGCACTCAGTACAGGATGCTAGTGCTTTAACTGCTAAGCCAAATGCCCATCCTGACAAAATCTACTCTTAATTTCCCACACAAGCAGAATCAAGCAGTACACCACACAGAGAATTGTGACTAGCAGATAGTTAAAACATCATTTCCATTTAGCCCTGAAATTTGAAAAGGAGAGTGCATGGAAGGAGGCCTTAGATCACCTACCAAGTGAATAATTAAGAATTACCTCTAATAAGAACTTACAGAATACTGTGCAGATGAGGATCACACCACTGTGTGGACCCTAGAACCCAAGATGGCAAAGCAAACAGATTTTAGCCTTTAGAATAGGCTCTCTGTCAGCCACTGTTTGTATGTTCTTTGAGGGAGCTGCTGAATCTGAAGCATTCAAGCAAAATTTGGTTTTGTCTCTCAAGCCTGGGACTTTGCAGTTTGCTCTGTCCTGGAAGGGCTGTGCACAGACCTGCAAGCAAATTGTTGGAGCAGCTCCCAGCTTGCTCGGCCAGCTGACTCTCTTTACAAAAGAGGATTTATCCTTTTTTTCTGCCTTTGTCCAAACTAAAGGACAAAGAGCATGGCAATTAATGGCTAATCACAGGGTGTGCTGGAGCCTGCCAAAAAAAAAAGGAAAAAAGAAAGAAAAAAGACCCCTCTCCCCAGGGCAACCCTGATAGTGGTCCCTAAAGAAGTTAGCAAAAGTCCACCCACCCCCTGCGACACCCCTGAAGGCTTGTTAACAGCTATGGTGTGACACCCAGGGCAGAGACAAGAAAGTCCAGCTGACTGTGCTGCTGCTCTAAGACAGCCTCCCACATCTACCCATATCTTTAGTATCTTCCCTTTAAAATCACATGTTTCTGTGTCTCTCTGCTTTACAAATAAACATTTAAGTAAGATGTCCAAGGGTCATCATTTTGGGGGATTAACTTGGCATTGCACCGTAGGCCCGAGGCTGTTTAGGTTCATTGATGTGGAAAAGCTGGAATTTAATAAAACAATGCTGAAGTAATGGTAACCAGCTACAAAATCTTCCTAGTGAGGAGCACACAGGATTTACAGTCAAGCAGACCTCCTTGCATTCAAAACATCTTAACTTGTTAGGTTGTGTCAGAAGAGTTATTTAACTTTTCTGAGCCTCAGTTTCTTCATCTACAAAATAGGGATAATATTAATAGCTCTCTCAGAGTTGCTTGGGAAGGAATAAAATACAGCACAGTCCCTAAACCCAAAAAGTAGGGGATCACAAGAAACTGCTAAAATAATTCCCAGGCTTCTCAAAATACTCAATTTGCTTCACATGCCTAGGCCCAGAAGTTGCATAAATACACTGACTATAGAATGCAATCATCAGCCGGTGCCGCGGCTCACTAGGCTAATCCTCTGCCTTGCGGCGCCGGCACATCGGGTTCTAGTCCTGGTTGGGGCGCTGGATTCTGTCCCGGTTGCCCCTCTTCCAGTCAGCTCTCTGCTGTGGCCAGGGAGTGCAGTGGAGGATGGCCCAAGTCCTTGGGCCCTGCACCCCATGGGAGACCAGAATAAGTACCTGGCTCCTGCCATCGGATCAGTGCGGCGCGCTGGCCGTGGCGGCCATTGGAGGGTGAACCAACGGCAAAGGAAGACCTTTCTCTCTGTCTCTCTCTCACTGTCCACTCTGCCTGTCAAAAAAAAAAAAAAAAAAAGCAATCATCGCTCTATTCTTTAAGGAGTTTCAAGGTGCAATGCAGAAATACTTGTTTATTATTTTTGTAAAGCTAAGAGAGTAGGAAGAGAGAAGAGTACAATTTTCCATTTTACAGATGGGAAATCTGAGGCACAGAAAAAGTAAATGACATGTCTAATGTCACATAAAGCCAGAAGCAGAAGTAAAATTGGTGTGACCCCCAGAGCAATGCAGCTTGTCTTTATCCCTAAATGTCAGGGGTGAGAAACTTCTGTCCAAGCTTTAATACCACCAGTCTAATTTTTTAGATTTTCTACAGCTGCTGATCTTGAGGACCTTTGGAGCGTTGGGGAAATCACATGGGCAATTTGACCTTAAATCTCATGCCACTGGTGAAAGATTAATTGCTAAGACCTGGAAAGGGGCCAGAGAATTCCATGTAGCTGAATAAGAGCATCGTCTAGGGATGTTGTTGTCCTGACAGACTTAGTACATAATTGATAAATCTGGAGTTTGTATAGCTTTACAGATAGATAAGGCAACTGGCTTCCGGGGCTGACATTTACAGAAGCCCTACCAGTGTTTTTGGAACACCAAATGTAGGTTTTCTACCCTTACCCTCTGAACATTGCTTATTTTCTCAGGCACTGTTCTCAGCAGGCAATAAGATGAGGCAATTGGACAAAAGTGCCACCTTCCCCAGTATAAGCAAGCAGGCTCACCAGTTTAACACTGTTACAAGACTGCTTTTAAAATGTATTTACCCTTGGGGCTGGTGTTGTGACACAGCAGGTTAAGCCACCACCTGCAAAGACAGCATCCCATATAGGCACTGGTTTGAGGCTCCACTTCCAATCCAGCTCCCTGCTAATGTGCCTGGGAAATCAGTGTAAGATGGCTCAAGCATTTGGGTCCCTGCACCCACAAGGGGACCCAGATAGAGTTCCTGGCTACTGGTTTCAGCCTAGTCCAGTCTTGGTGGTTGCAACCATTAGGGGAGTGAACCAGTGGACCGAAGCTCACTCGCTCTCGCTCTCTCTCTCTCTGTCTCTGTCTCTCTCTTTCTGTAACTCTGCCTTCTAAGTAAATAAGAAAAATCTTTGAGCCGGTGCCGTGGCTCAATAGGCTAATTCTCCGCCTTGTGGCGCCGGCACATCGGGTTCTAGTCCTGGTTGGGGCGCCGGATTCTGTCCCGGTTGCCCCTCTTCCAGGCCAGCTCTCTGCTGTGGCCAGGGAGTGCAGTGGAGGACGGCCCAAGTCCTTGGGCCCTGCACCCACATGGGAGGCCAGGGGAAGCACCTGGCTCCTGCCATCGGATCAGCGCAGTGCGCCGGCCGCAGCGGCCATTGGAGGGTGAACCAATGGCAAAAGGAAGACCTTTCTCTCTGTCTCTCTCTCACTGTCCACTCTGCCTGTCAAAAAAAAAATCTTTAAAAAAAAAGCACTTGCCCTGATCCAATGTAGGTTGAGGTCAAAGAGGGATTCGATGCATCACATAGAAGCTAGAAAATTTTTGTCACAATCAGAATCCAGAAAAGATGAAAGACAGCCAAACACAACATTAAAGCTTGATAGTGGGTCTAAACCTTGGGCAGGAGACTTTGCACAGTGTAAGTCTTGTTCCAGACTCCAATGTCATGAGCCCACTTTTAGCGATTTGAACTCTGACCCACAGAAACCTCAGATTTTGAGTTTCTTTGACTTTGGTCACCCCTTCCAACAAAGTATTTTGCTTAATAGAAGGAACTGGTGATGAATATGTTTCACTGTAATTTGTATTCAGAGACCACAGGGTTTCTTAGAAGACCTGGCTATCTTTCCTTAATGCTCGCACTCTAGTTTCATTTCAGTTCAGGAGGCATTGCTGTGGGCTTGATACATGATAGCACACTTCTGCATTTCTCTCCCGTCCAGATGTAAAACATCTGACAGCCACTGGGGTCCATAAATCAGTAGCTAAGAGTGCACAAGATCATTACACAGAGTGGGTCAAGTTTTTTTTTTTGGTATGTTTTTGGATGGTAGTGAATAAGGGTGGCATCATACAGCCTTTTTTGCCCTTTTTTTCGTGGATCATAAATTAACACATTGGACTCTTTTTCTAAGCAAGTTATTACTACTTTCTGAACACAATTTACTAAAATATATTACTTTTAAATAATCATTCTAAAAACATCACATTGTTCATAAATCATCATTGTTTCACAAATATATCATTTTAAATACTTAGAGTTTACAAGATTGTTCCTAGAAACTTGTGGGTCTGAATTAAGGAGGTGATTTTTATCTTTTTCCATCAGAGGAATTGGAGAAATTAGAACAGGAAAGACTGGCATTGGAGGCCACTATCAAAGATAATGAGTGTGAAGAAGGAAATGGAGGTATCCGGGGCTTGTTTAAGAAAGTTGGCAAGCTGAACATCACTAAACCAACTCCCAAGAAAGGTAAGTACCTTTTACAAATCTACAAGAAAAACTACAAGATAAGTGATTATTTAAGCATCTGTAAAGGGTCAGCGGTCAGCATCTAAGATGTTGAGGGCATTCAGGGTAGGAAGGGACCGAAAGAGTTATTTCAAGTAGGTGGCTGAGTAAGAAGCAGATGCCATTGACAGTGATAAATATTTCTAAGTAATTTGTACCATCTTTTTATAAAAATTTTATTTTAAAATCATCATATTTGGTTTAGGAATCATACAATGCTTAAGCAGGTTAATTGCCACAAAATAGAAATATCTTAGTTAAGATAGAAAAGGTATAAACATTTAAGAACCAGTACCCAAACTTTTAAATTTACATCTTTCTTATCTTACAGAAATTCAGGGGACTTAAAATTGACTAGTATATGTAAGTAGGGGATCCAACTTGAACCCCAATTTCAAAAATGTGTTTATCACACACCAGAATGCTGGGTTTAGAACTTCATTAATACTAATTTCCTATAGATTTTGTTTGAGTGGTACATTTATCTCTGAGGGTCTGGCATATATCCCAGAAACAGGGACCAAGGGCTGGGAGAGCGTGTTGTGGGTTTTAAAAACAGTTGATTCAAAACCTGATTTTTTAAATTGCTTTCTTTCCTAAAATACTGCAACTTGAGCTTAATATCCACAGTGACCTCTGCTGGTAGAAAACTACAATGTTAACACGCACTGCAGGCACAAATACCATCTTGTTAAATAAAGTAATACTCTAGTGTGAGACTGGGGGAAGATCACTTCTCTGAAGAGTCTCCAAGTCAAATAGCAAGATCCAAATGAAATTTAGCAGCCTTCCAGTCTAGAATGATGGTGGCCAGTGCTTCAAAGGGGCCATTTCCTACCCAGTAATTGTATTGGTTCAGTTTGCTTGTTCTTCTGCTGTAGCTCAGGGATAAAAAATCTCACCTGTAATTTAACATTTTTATATATTTACAGAAAAGGATGAGAAATACACATATTTCTCCCACTTCAAATATTAGAGATACTCTCAAGTTCCCAGGAATCCCATAGGTTTTGGGAGAGCCTACTATTTACTGCTCACCTTAAAATGACATTTTCTAGGAAAATATGTTTGAATCTAACGGGAAAGATACATCAGGACTTTGAGAGTGCAAAAATGAGAACAAGACTCTACTGAATACTAACTACTGTCTTCTTTCCATTCCATTTTACTGTTTTACTTGTGAGAAAAGTTAACTGACCCTTAAACCTGCTCTATTAAGTGGTGCAATATGAAAAGACAAGGGAAACCTCAGAAAGCATAGGCAAACGCTATTCTCTATGTAATGGGGAGGAGGAGCATTTATGTTCTTATTAAAGAAAGCAGGATTTGTTATATATTCTGGAAGCCTGTTTCTGCGTCACAATACTTGTTTGGGAAAAAATGTGTTCTGAAATTCAGCATGTCTCATTTTTCAGAAAAGCAAAATAATGTTATGTGCTATTTTCAGTATCTAAAAGTTCAAACACAGCTCTAAAGTGGGCCCATTCACTGCTCTGGCTGACAGCTCTTTGGCGTTCTAGATCAAGACCAACCCTGCCCCTAGGCACTCATCAGAGTCCTGGGGATGCTTTTTGATTTGCTTGTAAGTGAGGGCAGAGTTTGGTCCATTTTGCAAATAAATTTACTTTCTCCCTCAGCAGTCCTAGCAATACAAAAACAATATGAGATAATTGCTTCAGAACTGACAGGCCCAAAACATGGAAACAGCAACAGACAGAACAAAGCATCTTCAGAACCCCGGAGATCAGAGAGGAAGCTCTGAGAGGCTGTCAGCTCTACTCCAAGCACTACATTGACACCACCTCTTTGAAACAGAGCAATGAAATCACAGCTTCCAAAGACACAGAAATGAGATATAATATATATAGTGTGGCAAAGAAAACCTACTAGCAGAGAGGGACAAGGGCCTCTCAAACATTGGCCTAGTTCCCTGGTACACTTTCGTTGTACCCATGTTAGGCTGGAAATTGCATTAAAATTTTAAAGTATTTTATATCCACTCTTTTTTTTTTTTTTTTTTTGGACAGGCAAAGTTAGACAGTGAGAGAGAGAGAGAGACAGAGAGAACAGAGAGAAAGGTCTTCCTTTTTCTGTTGGTTCACCCCCCAAGTGGCCACTAAGGCCAGTGCGTTGCGGCTGGTGCGCTGCGCTGATCCGAAGCCAGGAGCCAGGTGCTTCCTCCTGGTCGCCCATGCGCGTGCAGGGCCCAAGGACCTGGGCCATCCTCCACTGCACTCCCTGGCCACAGCAGAGAGCTGGCCTGGAAGAGGGGCAACCGGGACAGAATCCAGTGCCTCGACTGGGACTAGAACCTGGTGTGCTGGAGCCGCAAGGCGGAGGATTAGCCTAGTGAGCCACGGCGCCGGCCATATCCACACTTAATTATAACCAAAGTAAGGATAGTTTTCTTTCAATATTTTCTGGATTTTCCTTTCTTTTTAAAGATTTATTTCAAAGTTAGAGAGAATAGAAACAGACAGAGATATGCATACAGAGAGACAGACAGAGCTCCCCTGTGCTGGTTCATTCCCTAAATGCCTGCAATGCCCAGGGCTGGGTTAGGCTGAAGCTGAGAACTAGGAACCCAATCCAGGGCTCCCACACGAGTGGTACAGACCCAACAAAATGAGCCATCTCAGACAGGCCTGCTGTCTCTCAGAGTATCCATTAGCAGGAAGTTGGAGTTGGGATAGAGTCAGGACTCAAACCCAGGAACCCCAATAGGGCATGCAGGTGTCCCAGTCTAGTGCCTTAACCACTGAGCCAAATACCTATTCCTGGACTTTTTTCCCTCTCATTCAAAAATATTCAAACAGTTCAACTGGCTTTACCTTAGCTTCATAAGATTTCTTGAAAATAAAACAGGAGGGGCTAGTGTTGTAACACAAGTTAAGCTCCAGCCTCGCACAGAAGCCCCAGTTCAAGTCCCAGCTGCTCCACTTCCAGTGTGGCTCCCTGCTAATGCACCTGGGAAAACAACGGAAGATGGCCCAAGTGCTTGCGCCCCTGCCATCCACAGGGAAGACCTAGATGGAGTTTCAGACTTCTGACTTCAGCCTAGCCCAGCCTAAGCCATTGTGGCCATTTGTGGGGTGGGAGTGGGGTGCAGTGGGGTGGGAGTGGGGTGCAGTGGGGTGGGAGTGGGGTTGGTGGTGAACCAGCAGAGGGAAGATCTTTCTCTTTCCCTGTCTCTCTCTCTCTCTCATTCTCTGTGTGTAACTCTGCCTTTCAGATGAATAAATAAAACTTAAAAAGAGAGAAAGAGAGAGGAAGGAAGGAAGGAAGGAAGGAAGGAAGGAAGGAAGGAAGGAAGGAAGGAAGGAAAACAGGAGTAAGCCAGGCCAACCACAGGACCAAATAATCATAGGGAACTCAAATTGTACATAGTCTCTGAAAAATTTTATAAACCATACTTTCATGGAATCTATACTAAAACTGTGCTTGAATGAATAAATTCTAACATAAGAACACTTCTGGGGCTGGGCTGTGGCACAGCAGGTTAAGCCACATCCTGTGATGCTGGTATCCCATATTGGAGCAGCCATCCAGCTCCCTGATAATGTTCCTAGCAAAGCTGTAGAAGATGGTCCAAGTACTTGGACCCCTGCCACCCATGTGGAAGACCAGGATGGCGTTCCTGGCTCCAAGCTTCGTCTTGGCCTGGTCCCACTATTATAGCCATTTGGAAAGTGAACAAATGGATGGAAGATCTCTCTCTCTCTCTCTCTCTCTCTCTGCCACTCTGTCTTTCAAATAAATAAAATAATTTTTTTGTTAAAAATACATCTGATCCTATTGTGTATTTCCAGAAAACCAATCACTACATCTTCTGTCACAAAAAACTGAAAATATTAAGTTGGCTCATATCTGAGATTTAGGAAAATTGGAATATTTTGGTTATTGTATTAGATTATTAGGTATTATTGTATGCATAAATAATAGTTCTAATCTGAGACAGATTATGAAGGATCTGAAAATAATCCACTGCTTTGTAAGGAAAATTGTAATCATAAAACCAATATCAAATTTTCATTTAACTATTAGAGGTTATCTAAATTCATGTGAGATTTTTCCTTTATCTTCACAGAGATAAAAAACATGGATTCATGACTCTTCCTCTATTTTCATCAATAGATTTATTGGAAAGTTATTTTGCTTCTATCCTCAAAAGACAAATAGATGTATCACTTTCTCTTTCAGATAGCAGCATTAACACAATCCAGTCAATGCATGTGGGAGAGTTCAACCAGAAACTGGTGGAAGCCAGCACTCAATTTAAAAAGAAACAAGGAAAAGGCACAATTGATGTTTGGTGGTTGTTTGATGATGGAGGTAAAACTTCCAGAATACACTGTAGGGAGAATTTCTGTTCTGATAAACTTAAAAAGTACATGGGATGGTATATGAAAACAATGCCAGTTAAAGAATAATCCTTCTGGCCGGTGCCGTGGCTCACTAGGCTAATCCTCCGCCTTGCGGCGCTGGCACATCGGGTTCTAGTCCCGGTCGGGGCGCCGGATTCTGTCCCGGTTGCCCCTCTTCCAGGCCAGCTCTCTGCTGTGGCCAGGGAGTGCAGTGGAGGATGGCCCAAGTCCTTGGGCCCTGCACCCCATGGGAGACCAGGATAAGTACCTGGCTCCTGCCATCGGATCAGCGCGGTGCGCCAGCTGCAGCGCGCTGGCCGCAGCGGCCATTGGAGGGTGAACCAACGACAAAAGGAAGACCTTCCTCTCTGTCTCTCTCACTGTCCACTCTGCCTGTCAAAAAAAAAAAAAAAAAAAGAATAATCCTTCTATATTCTCATAAACTTGTAAATTATTTAAGAACTATGACTATGAGAATAAATAGATACATAGTTATTCGTATTCTTTGTTAGATTTACTCATCCTTTCTGTCATAACTTACTCTTTATTACAGGGTTAACACTCCTTATCCCCTATATCTTGACTCTCAGAAAAAAATGGAAAGACTGTAAATTAAGAATCTATGTTGGAGGGAAGATAAATCGCATTGAAGAAGAAAAAATAGCGTAAGTAGTTTACCACTCCTGTGTTAGGTTATTTCAGATGTTTGTTGCCTTAATGCTTTAATTCTTGAGAAATTTTTTAAGTGTTTTTGAGGCACACTAGATGGAAGGACACACCCACCATAATGGGACACATGCTTACTTGGTTTTCTCTTCAATAAACTATTTGCATAATTTTTCTAATCATTGTCTTCAAGTCCTCCTATCTTCTGCCACAAATGCTTTCAAAAAGAAAGTTGAGTGTCACCCCACCTTATATAATGTGTGTTCTGTTCTGACGAATAAACACATTCAAGAAAGGAACAGCATGAAAAAATTTATGTCCATTTGTGGGATCTAAATCTGCTAATTCATGGCAGTCACTATTAGAATAGCAAAGAACTAGATGGAGAGATAAGTCTTGGGTGTACCAGCCCTGCTACCAAGGGGTTGCAAGAGTCCACAACAGTCAAAAAACACATCTGATCCTCAGTTGCTTGTGTACAGTTTGGAGAAGTTTCCTCATTCTAAGTCTGTGTCTATTGCATTCATCTACCATTGAGAGCAGATGTGTGGCCCTAAGAATAATAAGCATGCCCAGAACATGGCATATCCAGGAGGCTCTGGTGGAAATCTGGAGAATCACCTGTAGCAGCTCTTGGTCCTCTGTGATATACTGAAGTCCTGAGCCCTGTGTCGTCCAGAAATCACAAAACAATGACAGACTTTTATTAAGTAATTTTTGATATTTTCTCCTTTCTCAGGAAGTTGTAACTGCATATAAATATATACTTCTGTATTAATGAGCATGTAAATATATTCATTTATTTTTAGTTGCAGCAATGCAATATTCATATATTTTACCATATATATTTAATTCTTCATAAAGAATCATGGTGAAATTGAAAATAACATGTTAATAATAATTTATATTTCTTAAAGACCCTGGTATCTTTACAATTGATAAAATTTGAAGGTAGTTTGTAGATTAGATAATAGTATGACATAAATGTTGGATGCTTTAATTTCTCAAATTGTACTCTATTGGTATAAGAGAATATCCTTGTTCTTAGGAAATGTTCACCAAAATATTTAAGGGTGAAAAGGCCTGATATCTGCAAGATACTTTAAAGTTGGATAGATAGATAAATAGATACAAAAACAGAGGAAATCAGCAGATAAAGAGAGATACAAAGAGAATGACAAGTCTAATGGGGCAAAATACAAACAACTGGTGATGTTGGGAGTTACTCACACTATGCTTGCAACTTTCCCATAAACCTGAAATCATATCACAATTATAAGTTGTTAGGATAAAGACTTCCAACATATAATCATGTAATGTATGATAATTACTAGTTTGTCAGTAATTTGTCAGTGGCTATAAAAATTATCAGCTAGATAGTAGTCAATAAATATTAAGATTTACTGGCTTTCCTTTAAATAATAAGTGAATGTGTATGGCTTTGCATCATCGTCCCTGGCACATGAATGCAGTTAGATTTACTATTTCTACTCTCTGTGCTTACAGGAGTTTCTTTACACTTGCAGTGGAATAGTTTGGTCTACATTTAATGTGTCCAACAAGTATGGTAATGAAAATCAAACACTAACCATAAAGCCTGTCTTACAACTAAGCTGAAATAAGGCATGATTGCTTTTGATATCTTAACTCAAACACAAAACATCTTTGATTGAAAATAGTTAAATACACAATGATGAAGTGTTTTTCTCTTCCATTTTCAGAATGGCTTCTCTTTTGAGCAAATTTAGGATAAAATTTGCAGACATCCACGTCATTGGTGATATCAACATTAAGCCCAACAAGGAGAGGTACGAAATGTTTAACAAGATGCATTGATTAACCACAGTAATCTCTCATTCTCTTTGGTGTTGATTATCAAAGAATAAAAATGTTATGTATTTACTACAGTGACTTCTTGATAGAATTTTAAAAAAGCCTTCAAGTAATCATGACAAAGAACTAACAAGTACATTCCAATAAAAAGAAAAGGCTTAGGCTTTATGATAAAGTTGAGCTTGGAAGGAAAGTTGTTGAAACACAGGTTGGTGTGTCACACAATAGAATTCCCCTTCCTATTCTTGATCCCTAAAGTGGCAAGAGTACCAGGAAGCACAAGGTCACACTGTTCTGACTTGAGCAGTCAAGGTTAGTTTCCTACTCAGTGTTAATGGTGAGGCATCTTGGATGGGGAGTTCTGATGGAGAAGATGTATAAACAGCTTGTGTTTTCTTGGCACAATGACAGTACCAACCCTCCAGGACCATTTTAGCTTTTAGGCATGAAGGGCCCAGCTTAAGACTTATGAACTTTGGGGGAGAGAAGGATCTCTAAAACTATCTGAAGCCTGGAAAAGAAATGTATTGGTTCCAAAAGAAAATGATATAATTGTAATATTCATGTATTATCCTCAAAGGGCCAGTGTTTGGTGCATCTGTTCCTTGGGATGCTCACATCCCAATTAGAGTGCCTGGGTTAGAGTCCCAGCCCTGCTTCTAATTATGGCTTCCTATTAATGCATACCTTGGGAAGTAACAGGTGAAGGATCAAGTACTTCAGTCCCTGCCACCTACATGGGAGATCTGAACTGAGTTTTGGGTTCCTGGATTTGGCCTGGACCAGCCCCAGCTGCTGTGGGTACTTGAAAAGTAAGCCAGCATATTGAAGATCTCTGTCTGTCTTTCTGTTTTTTTCTCTCTGTACATCTCTGCCTTTCAAATAAATAAATAAAACTCTTAAATAGCTTTAAAATGTGGGGGCAGGTATGTGGCCTAGTGGTTAAGCCACTGGTTAGAACACCCACATCCCACATTAAAGTGTGTAGGTTCAATTTCTAGCCCTGTTTCTCAAGTTCCTGTTTCTTCTAATATGCATCTGGGAGGCAGAATGTGATGGCTCAATTAGTTGAGTCCCTGACATACATGGATGATATCTGGATTGAGTTTCCAGCTCCCAACTTTAGCTCTTAGCTTTAGTTCCTAGACTGCTGTGGACATTTATGTGGTGAACCAGCAGATGGGAGCTTTCTCACTTTCTTGTTCTCTTTCCTACACCAACCCCTGCCCCAACTCCCAAATAAATAATTTTTTGAAAAAAGTTTAAGTAAATATTTTCAGAACAATATCATTTTAACTCTCATCAGTTATTATCAACTCCACTATCATCTTCATCAGGCTGCTAAAAAAATACCAAAAGCTGGGTGGCTTAAATAACAGACATTTGTTTAAATTCTGAAGACTAGCAAGTCCAAAATAGAGGTGTTGACTGATTCAGTCCTTTGAGGGCCATCTTCCTGGTTTGCAAATGGCCACCTCCTCACATGGTAGAGGTGTGATCCCTTTCTCTTCTTCTTCTTCTTCTTTTTTTTTTTTTTAACAGGCAGAGTTAGACAGAGGGAGAAAAAGAGACGGAGAGAAAGGTCTTCCTTTTTCTGTTGGTTCACCCCACAAATGGTCACTACAGCTGGCGCGCTGTGCCAATCCCAAGCCAGGAGCCAGGTGCTTCCTTCTGGTCTCCCATGTGGGTGCAGGGCCCAAGCACTTGGGCCATCCTCCACTGCCCTCCCGGGCCACAGCAGAGAGCTGGACTGGAAGAAGAGCAACCAGGACAGAATCCGGTGCCCCAACTGGGACTAGAACCCAGGGTGCCGGTGCCACAGGCGGAGGATTAGCCTAGTGAGCCAAGGCACCAGCCCCCTTTCTCTTCTTAAAAATATCCTAATCCCCTCAGGGGCCCACCCTCATGACCCGATCTAAATCTAAATACCACCCAAAGGCCCCATTTCCAAATATCATCGGGTTAACACTTCAAAATATGAAATTTGGAGGGACACAAATGTTCAATTCACAACAATGGTATTTGAAACCCATTTGTAGGGTAGCTCTTCACAGGAAATACCAAAGTTGCAAGAAGATTGTGTGGAAATCCTAGCTAATTGTAAATTTAATGAACAACTTAGAGTCTAATCTAACAATTATAAAATGTTGCCCAAGCTTGTAGACCAAATCATATCTACTATTACATTTAGATTTAATTATGTACATTTAATTTTTTTAAGGATTTATTTTATTTATTTGAAAGAGTTACAGAGAGAGGTAGAGACAGAGAGTGGTCTTCTATCTGCTGGTTCACTCCCCAGATGGCTCAACGGCTGGAGCTGAGCTGATCCGAAGTCAGGAGCCAGGAGCTTCTTCCAGGTCTCCCACGTGGTTGAAGGGGCCCATGGACTTGGGCTGTCTTCTACTGCTTTCCCAGGCCATAGCAGAGAGCTGGATTGGAAGAGGAGCAGCCAGGACTAGAACTGGTGCTCATAAGGGACACCAGTGCTTCACACCAGAGCTTTAATGCTCTGTGACACAGTGCTGGCCTGTACATTTGATTGGGTGAAGAGTAGGGCCTCCGGGGCAGTGCACAGAAACACAAAGTCCCCAGAATGCCATACATCCTTACTGCTCTGTTGGATATTTTCCCTATTCTGTTTTCCACCATTTCTCCTTCCTCTTGCAATTCTTGATGGGTTATAATTCTACAATCCTCAAGTCTTTTTGCTTTTTCCCTTCTTTGGATTTTTTATTATCCTATATAAACTTAACACCTTGTTGAAAATCATTCATATATGGCCGGCCCGTGGCTCATTAGGCTAATCCTCTGCCTGCTGCACCGGCACCCCGGGGTTCTAGTCCTGGTCGGGGCGCCAGATTCTGTCCCAGTTGCTCCTCTTCCAGTCCAGCTCTCTGCTGTGGCCAGGGAGGGCAGTGGAGGATGGCCCAAGTGCTTGGGCCCTGCACCCGCATGGGAGACCAGAAGGAAGCACCTGGCTCCTGGCTTCGGATCTGCACAGCGCGCCTGCCATAGTGGCCATTTGGGGGGTGAACCAACGGAAAAAGGAAGACCTTTCTCTCTGTCTCTCTCTCTCACTGTCCACTCTGCATGTCAAAAAAAAAAAAAAAAAAGAAAGAAAGAAAGAAAAAGAAAATCATTCATATTTAAGATGCAGTCTTATTGACCGAACTTCACATCCTTTGAAGGTACTCATGATTCCTCCAAGGCTATGGTTCAGTTAAAATGGCTTTACTAAACACTTTCACTGTGATAAGAAGGCAATAATTGACAGGGTAAACCTGGTTATTACTTTGTGATATTTCCTTATATCATATATACTTCTAATGCCTTCCATTATATTTCTACAATTACAAATACTTAAGAAAAATTAAGACTACATTTATAAATCTCCTTGGTAAATGGAATTAACAGTCTTATATGAACCAGGTTGTCATACAATAATATCTGGTAGCTTTCCACTTTTCATCAGAAGAATTCTAATTCCCTGAGTCATTGCCCCTTGGTATTTGCAGTGATGTAATCAACCAGGTTCATGTTATGGCTGCTCTAATTCTAAGGAATGCATTCTCTTTCATAACACAGAAGGCCCAACAATTCCTTAGTATGTGCCCCTTAGTAACTGAGTCAGCCCTACCAGTACTCTGCAAAACTGGGCCATTCTCTATTGCCTAGAGGCTATTCACTATGATTGTTACTGGTTTTGGAGTTCATAAGCCAGGGCACAAAGGGCACAAATTAGTCACCCACATCTTGCAGGCAAATGCTTTTTGCTGTTGTTTGTCTTATCAGTAGCTAAGGACTATCTTTGCTTATAAATGTGTTCCTAAATTCCTCTATTTCCTTACTCATCAATCTGGTTTGCTCTACCCAAGTCCTTGTTTTCTTCCCTTTCTTTCTTACTCGTTTCTGTCCAGCTGCCATGGTCACCACCTTAATATTCATTCTTTCTCTCTCCTGTTCATCACTGAGGATGTTGAGGTACCTCCTTTTCCGTTAACTTAAACCTTTTCATCTTTTGGGTACCTGTCAAAGTCAGGGCCTCTTCATCTTACCACCCTGACCTTTGTCCCATGGTACCTTGTTGCAATAGTACGAAAGGCATTTTTTTTTTTGTCTTGGTGTCTAAATCTCACATATTCTCATCATCCTATCATAAGGAGAATTCATTCCCTCCCTAAAGAAATAAATGAATTTGTTTTCAAAATTTTGAAGAGATGTTCTCTCAGCCATTTCAAGATCTTGAGGAAGATGCAGAGGGGGGAAATTCCTTCTCTACTGAAATAAAATACTTGTGGGGCCTGCGCTGTGACATCTCAGGCTGAGCTGCCCTCTGCAATGCCAACATCCCATATGGGTACCGGTTCCAGTCCTGGTTGCCCTACTTCAGGTCCAGTTCTCTGCTAATTTGCCTGGGAATGCAGTGGAAAGTGGCCCAAGAGCTTGGGCCCCTGAATCCACATGGGAGACCTGGAAGAAGCTCCTGGTTCCTGGCTTCACCCTGGCCCAGCCCTGGCCATTGCAACCATTTGGGGAGTGAACTAGTGGATAGAAGATCTATCTCTTGTTCTCTCCTTCTCTCTCTGTAACTCTGCCATTCAAATAAATAAATGAAATATTTAAAAAGAAGAATAATACTTGCAACTAATGTACCCTAGTGCAAGGAAAAGAAGCCATCCCCTTGAAGGGATGTGCTGGAGGACCTATCCTCCTCTCTGTAGCCTTCTGCCAAAACTAATGCCATAGTACTTTATGAAACAGCGACACATCCAATGTTGGCAATAACTATTCCTATCTCACATGTGGCCATTGGTAGCACATATGGTAAGTTTTTGATAACCTAAAGAAGGCAACTTATCTGGATGTTTTAAAGAGAACTCTTTCTTTGGGTTAATGCAGCCAGAGCACAGAGACTGTGACTTAGAGATTAACTACTGGCTCGGTTTCAGCTCTCACATGTACCTTCATGACCAGACATCCTTTATCACCATTAACAACTATCCCCTGGTCACTATTCATCAGGTTATATGCATGTGGAAAAATAATTTGTCAATGATTTCCATGTTGGAGACTAATGTAAAATGACCTTAAATTGCCTTTAGTAAATCTTTCAACTACTCATAAAATATCAGCAAGTCTTTTTTTTTTTTTTTTTTTTTTTGACAGGCAGAGTGGACAGTGAAAGAGAGAGACAGAGAGAAAGGTCTTCCTTTTTGCCATTGGTTCACCCTCCAATGGCCGCCGCAGCCGGTGCGCTGCGGCTGGCGCACCACGCTGATCCGATGGCAGGAGCCAGGTGCTTCTCCTGGTCTCCCATGGGGTGCAGAGCCCAAGGACTTGGGCCATCCTCCACTGCACTCCCTGGCCACAGCAGAGAGCTGGCCTGGAAGAGGGGCAACTGGGACAGAATCCGGCGCCCCGACCAGGACTAGAACCCGGTGTGCCAGCGCCGCAAGGTGGAAGATTAGCCTAGTGAGCCGCGGCACCAGCCTCAGCAAGTCTTGATGGAGGCATTTTATCACAGAAACATTATCTATAAATATGGTAGGGCAAGGGTGAAAGGGAGTACAAAAGCAAAGTTAATGAGAAAATAATTGAGTTAGGAGAAACTAAAAAGCTCTTGTGGTTAAATTCTACTTTTTATTGTATATACTGAATTAAAAGTCATAGGCCAAAAAGACAACAATCTTTATATGAAAATCAAAGAGAAACTAGAAGCAATTAGATAGGTGATTTAGTTTAAAGACACTGCAGTAATCACAAAAACAACTCCAGCACATTATTTTGAAGGAAGAAATCTTAGTGAACTGGAGGTAAGGTTTATGCAATTAAAAAATTTAGAAACTTTGCTGTAAGGAAGAAGGATAGGAAAGCAAGGAAGCTATTAGTTAATTTTTAAAATTGAATTTTCATTTATATTTAATATCATGTACTGTTTGATTTATTCTGGAAATGTACACAAATATTTATAAGAAAACTCAGATTTAGTGAGACTCAAAATAGAAATTTTGACTACCTTAGAATCACCTAGCCAGAAGGATGGGAAACAACCAGCTCAGAGATGAGCCTCGTGATGAAGAAATCAAGAATGGGCATAGATCAAAGAAGAGGAATGGACAAAGGCAGTCTCATTATAACCTACTGTGTCACTTAGCATATTTCAATTACAAATAAAAGAAAACCTAATGTACAGTGACTCAGATGATGTAAATTATTCTCCTACAAAACTAAAAAATACAAACATAGCTTGGCTTTTAGGCTAAACTTGATCTAAAAGGTTAACTTTATCATAAAGAGTTATGTTTCAGTCTCCCTATTCTACCTTTCATTATGAAACAATCAATCAAGATTGATTTCATTTATAAAAGCTAGATGACTGCCAACAACAACCAAGACAACAAAGTTGCTCATGTCTGTTCAGTAGGAGAGAAAGTTTGTTCCCCAGTCATTGAACTCAGGTCCTGGGTTCCACTAAAGTTGCACGGACCTACGCCCTGAACTATTTACTATGATCAGCATATCACTGGGTGCTTATCAGTTCGAACCTGGCTAATTACCTGCCCATCCTGGCCAATCACTGTGTTAGACTTAGCATTGTACTGACTAGCTGATGTTGGGAACAGAGTCATTCCTACTCAAAAGACAATGGTAAAAGCATAGTATGGCTGCTGAGGAAATACCCAGAAACCTCCATTCCACCTTCTGTTTCTTAGGAAACTATTTCTGTACTGTTTCTAACAGAGATCTTGGCTGAGACGCAAAGAAATGCTCATCCTGATTGAAATAAATGTATGTAGAGCTTAAACACAGAGTCTCCCAATCCTCCATCCTTTGGGTGTTCAGTAAAGTGACTACACACTTTTTGGAACACTGTCATCCAAATCATTACCATGACTTTCAGACAGCTCCCAACAGCCTTTGTTACTCATCCTCTATAGGCAAGGTTATCCAGGCCAAGGAGGACAATGGAAAAGCTAGAGCAAGAACACAGGCTCTTCTCCCCAAAGCCAGCACCCTTCCATCTTAATAACCACTGCCAAAGGTATCCTAAGTCATGACACTGTTCAAAGTAATAGCAAATAAAAGTATTGAATGGTTGAAAGAATAATAGGGCACATCAGTCTGATTTCTTTCCTGTCTTCAGCTCTCTAAATAAATCAATACAATAGAAGTCTACTGCATTAAGTGGCTCTTCAGTCCGTTAACAAAGGCTCACTGGTAAGGACAATCTTTGTCCTTTGTAATCTCTGCACTCCCAACTACAAATCTTAAATCAAGCCAACTGATGAGATAATTGAACTCGTTGCTTCAAATTTTAATTGTTAACCTAAAAGCATATGGATTCTAATTATCACTCATTCCAAAGTTACTAAATTATGAGTAAGACACATTATAATAAAGCCAAAGAAAAGAGTTCATACTTGAGATCTTCTTAAAGTGGCATATTGAAGACAACTACTGCCATAAATTATAAGCTTTGCTTTGTGCTATTGCTTTAAAAATAAATCTGATGAGTGTTATATAAGACAAGAATGAAAATTTATAGCAATTATTAAAATGTTCTATAGCTCTTAAATACTACTTTTAGTTTTCTCCTCAATGCCACAGAATTTCAGCCATTAAAATATCACTGATTTGTGTTCTTTCCTTAACACACACCTGAATAATAGTCATTCAAAACTCTCAGACAGCAACTTCAAACATGAGAAAGATAAAAACAGCATTATTTGCAGCAAACATCCAAATTTTTCAGAACCATGAAGACTGGGGGAGCCCTTGCCATGCCCCTGCTACCTGCCCTCAGCCTCTGGCTGTGAGTGGGAGTTGCCATGTGGACAAAAGATGAGAGTTGCCCTACTCCCAAGGAGCCTAGTTCATCTTCATTCTCTTATGAATGTTTCCCATAGAGTCTGTTTAATATACAGATGAAAATTCATTTATAGACTAACGTGTCTACAACTATGTCTTTGACTATACTTTGTAGAATATATACTTGCAGAACAATTACTACCTGTGTGTTTGTGCCTTAATATTGAAGATCTAACACCTACCAGACTGACAAGGCCTCAAATGCATTAAAGCGTTTCCTTGGAAAGGGAGTACTATACCCATGGTTTTACTCACAGTAAGTGCCCTGCAAAGATAAGTCTTAAAAGATTTGCATGACATTCAGTTCTGATTCCACAGCCAGCAGAGCCAGTCATACCTGGAGTATCCATGAAATAATGAGTTAGTTTCCCACTGTGAGGCCTCCTTTATAATTCCAATTTCAGCTGGAAATTCTTTGAAGAGATGATTGAACCATATCGTCTCCATGAAAGCTGCAAAGATTTAACAACCGCTGAGAAATTAAAAAGAGAAACTCCATGGAAAATTACAGATGCAGAACTGGAAGCAGTCAAGGAAAAGGTAAGGAACTTGTCTTCCTTAATTTTTTACTTTGCTATCTAACTGGCTCTTGATTTAAAGATCAAGAAGTAATGTAACTATTACTGAATTGCATTATTCAAGATCCAGAGTTTCCACACTTTTCAAGTGCTTTTCAATCACATTGTTGGATATGAGGATTTAGAAAACAGTGTTCATTATATTCTCTAAAGTCGAAATTGTTTTTAAAGTACAAATTATTAAATCTCCTGTCAGATTTAGTTTTAAAGAACATATGACAGAACTATCAATCTAAAATAATTTAGGTCAATATATGTGAAAAGTAGATAAGGGTAGATTGACTCACAATTGAGTACGATAATAAAGAGTTCTGACGGGATGAAGATACTTTGAAAACTAACAAAGATATCTGAGGAAATATATGATGTGATTGGAACAGTGCATGTGAGAGTGAGATCTAGTGCATCTTGTAAGATGGATACAAAATGGTGAGCTAGAGAGCCCAGAAAGATGGAAGTTACCCTCTTCCAGCCTGAGCTGAATGACGTCGCTGATAGTGAGGAAAGTGAAAATGAGGTAGGACTGACCTCTGAATTGCGCATTAAAGTCAAGGGAACACAGGAACTTGTAAACTACAAAATCTAAATAAACTACACAAGGAGCTGAATTTGGAAAAATTAAGAGTAAGAAATACTAAAAGCTTTTCACATTTAGTAAAAAAAATTTACAAATTAGAATCAAGCTCTGTGTATAACAAGCTGTCTAGTTCTTACAAAGACTTGTATAATTGAGCAAATCACACATCTGAGTCTCATTTTCTAAACCAGTGAAATGTAACAATAAATGTTACTCTCACCACTGCAAAACAGTTATTTTTCCATGTGAGTCTTCTGATAGCTTTTTCATCGAAACCAGTCTACTGTACTGAAAAACATTTAGAGAGTTACAGGAAAGGTAGCCTAGGATATGGTCTATGTTCTTAGGATATCAAACTGGTGTCAAGATTTGATCAGTTTTCTTTAACCAAAAACTTATTTCCTAAAACTAGCCATTCATGTTTTCTTTTTATAGTTATTCAAGTTGTTTGCTTCTCTCCCCATCCTAGAATTTATTAAGCTACTATAACACAATGAAAATATGGCCTTATTTACACTTCTAAAATTTCTTGTGAGGCTTTAAAGCTCTGTAAGCGTCCAAGCCTAAATAAGGTTCCCTCTCTGTGACTCGAAGTAAGAAAATAAATTCTTATTCATAATTCTGGGAGAACTACACTCAGCTAATTCTGAATGCTGTCCACAGAGTTACCGCCAAGTTCGACTGAATGAACTCTTGCAGGAGCACTCGAGAGCTGCTAATCTCATTGTCTTGTAAGTATCATTGCAGGCATTTAGGAATGGTGGAGAGACATTTTAGTGAAAATGGGTTAATCAGTTTTTTATTTATTTATTTTCTTTTTGGACAGGCAGAGTGGACAGTGAGAGAGAGAGACAGACAGAAAGGTCTTCCTTTGCCGTTGGTGCACCCTCCAATGGCCGCCGCGGCCGGCGCACCGCACTGATCCTAAGGCAGGAGCCAGGTGCTTCTCCTGGTCTCCCATGGGGTGCAGGGCCCAAGCACTTGGGCCATCCTCCACTGCACTCCCTGGCCACAGCAGAGAGCTGGCCTGGAAGAGGGGCAACCGGAACAGAATCTGGCGCCCCGACCGGGACTAGAACCCGGTGTGCTGGCGCCGCAGGAGGAGGATTAGCCTAGTGAGCCATGGCGCCAGCTGGGTTAATCAGTTTTTAAATCTCATGACTTTTCAGGTGAATAGCTTTTTTTTTTTTTTTTAATTGGAACACATGGGATTTTAGTGAAGGAAGGTCAATACTACTCTGAAATCCCGATGATGGCAGCTCAAGGCTACAGTGGGCCTGGCTTGGACTTTCTGCCTGACATGCTATACCCATGGGGCCAACGACACATGCCCACCCACAACCCAACTTTACCTTCCAGTCTGCACCAGTTAACTGAGATCCTGAAATTCCTTACTGACAGCCCCACGTTAACCACCAAAATTCACAGGCCTGTCCCTGGATGCGTGCTCCTGAGCTGCTGTGTCTCTGGCAGATTCATGAGGCTCTTTGCAGTGTTGGAAGAGGCCAGGGAGGGAGAAAAAGGCAATGATCTTTCCTATTTTCACTGTTGACCCTGTGGCACTACAAATGTTAGCTGTGTGACTATTGAAAATATTCATGTTCATCTACTTAGATTGGTAGCTAAACCTGAAAAGCCTTCCAACTATTTTGTATTTATACCTCATAATCTGACTGCTATGTATGAAGAAAAATGTGTCTTCAAGCATGGCCTAGGCTGGAAGGTTGTGCATCTAAAATGTTATACTCTTAAAATTGATGCAGGCCTGGAACCTTAATTTTTTTTTTTGACATGCAGATTTAGACAGTGAGAGAGAGAGAGAGAAAGGTCTTCTTTTCTGTTGGTTCACCCCACAAATGGCCAATAAGGCTGGTGCACTGCGCCAATCCAAAGCCAGGAGCCAGATGCTTACTCCTGGTCTCCCATGTGGGTGCAGGGACTAAGCACTTGGGCCATCCTCTACTGCCCTTCCGGGCCACACAGAGAGCTGGACTGGAAGAGGAGCAACCGGGACAGAATTCAGCGCCCCAACCGGGACTAGAACCCGGGGTACTGGTGCCACAGGCGGAAGATTAGCCTAGTGAGTTGTGGCACCAGCCTGGAACCTTAATTTTCAACCCAGGACCTTGTTCCTCACAGAGATGAGCATTTATAGGTGCACAGAGTAAGAACAGAATTTATTTAAAAGGTGACAGAATGAACATATATTCAAATGTGAGTGTGGCCTAGCTACATGGAGAAATATATATCATGAGGCCGGCGCCGCGGCTCACTAGGCTAATCCTCTGCCTGCGGCACCGGCACCCCGGGTTCTAGTCTCAGTCGGGGCGCCAGATTCTGTCCTGGTTGCCCCTCTTCCAGGCCAGCTCTCTGCTGTGGCCAGGGAGTTCAGTGGAGGATAGCCCAAGTCCTTGGGCCCTGCACCCCATGGGAGACCAGGAGAAGCACCTGGCTCCTGGCTTCGGATCAGCACGGTGCGCTGGCCGAGGCGGCCATTGGAGGGTGAACCAACAGCAAAGGAAGACCTTTCTCTCTGTCTCTCTCACTGTCCACTCTGCCTGTCAAAAAAAGAAAGAAAGAGAGAGAAAGAGAGAGAGAAAGAGAGAGAGAGAGAGAGAAAGAGAGAGAAATACATATCATGAGTGGATCAGAGAGTTGGTTGAGAGAAAAAGCCTAAGTAGCACCCATAACTGCATTCAAGCAAAAAAGGGGCTCTCTCCTGTATGAGTTAGGGGATGTTGCCTTAACTGAAGAAATAAATGGGGTGGGAGCTCAACAAGCATGAAGCCATCTGGACATTTTATTTATTTATTTATTTATTTATTTTTTTTTTTTTACAGGCAGAGTGGATAGTGAGAGAGAGAGACAGAGAGAAAGGTCTTCCTTTGCCGTTGGTTCACCCTCCAATGGCCGCCGCGGCCGGCGCGCTGCGGCCGGCGCACCGCGCTGATCTGATGGCAGGAGCCAGGAGCCAGGTGCTTTTCCTGGTCTCCCATGGGGTGCAGGGCCCAAGCACCTGGGCCATCCTCCACTGCACTCCCTGGCCACAGCAGAGGGCTGGCCTGGAAGAGGGGCAACCGGGACAGAATCCGGCGCCCCGACCGGGATTAGAACCCGGTGTGCCGGCGCCGCTAGGCGGAGGATTAGCCTAGTGAGCCGCGGCGCCGGCCATCTGGACATTTTATGGCACCCCTATGTGGAGGTTAATATCCATGAAGTAATCATGGCATCTACTCCTTCCTTATTGGCCCTGGATGAGACACAGGTACATCCTGGGAAGGTGGGTGTCTTAGACTGACAGGTAAAGAGATAGCATTAAATTGCACAGTTGTCAAGAATTCCATTTCACCTAGGCCTGACTAGCTGCCTGCTTATTCATACAAAATCAAAATGGTCTGCTAAATTGTGTGGTAGGATCTCAATAGCTAATTTCTGAGGTTTCCCCCAAATACAAAAACTTTAAACTTCTGGAAAATGATTTCTATCTATATTTTTGTTCTGTCTTTGCAATACCTAAGCCTATTTCTCTGGTTTATAGTTATTTGTATAAACTGAGAAATACATCAGTTTAATGTCTATATTCAAAATGATTCCAGTGCCTTCATTGGGGAGAAGAGTGTAAAAGTTTCAGGCCTGTCAAAAAAAAATAGTTCTGAAATGCTAGAAAGATTATTGTGTTAGTAATTCTCATTTTCGTCTTTTGTCTTCTCTGCCATTAGGAGCCTTCCAGTGGCGAGAAAAGGATCTATATCGGATTTGTTGTATATGGCTTGGCTGGAAATCCTCACAAAGAACCTTCCTCCTGTCTTACTAGTTAGAGGAAATCACAAAAATGTCCTGACATTTTACTCTTAAAACATGAAAGATTAGAAAACATATTAATGTATGGCTAATTAAGAAGCATGTTGCTGTACTATATGCTGTAAATCTGATCCTTGGATATGTAAATCTCTGGAGACTGTCCTACCATATTCTACTGATTTATTCATATAAATTGTAGTATATTAGAATTTTTATTAGTTACTGGAGGTTTTTTTTTTTTTCTATTAGCTTAAGAGAGTCTCAAAACCAATGCTGCTCCTAGAAAAAAAATTTTGTCATTGCTGTTGATAAATAATAAGCAAACCCAGGCTGGCTTGTACTCATGAAAACCACCAATTTGACTGGAAGCTTCTCCAGGCATACTTAATCTTTTGTTTGTACGTTGTTTGCTTCTGGGCACTGATATAGGCCTCAGCCCCACAGCAGGTGCTCAACAAATGCTTATTGACAGCCCCAGAGAGTAACCATGGGTGGTTATCAAAGGAGAAGACCAACTGGGTGTGAAACCTGATTATACGTGGCCTCCTGAGAGGCTTGTATCTACAAAGAAGATTTAAAAATCAATAACTGAAAACTTTAAAAAGTTCTTGAGTTACAAAATGTTTAAAGCACTTATTTAAATAAGGTTATTTAATGTAACTGATTAAATACTTAGTGATCAAGTGATCATTGATAACACATGCCTTAAATTTGCTACTGACTGAAAAGTACGTTAACCACCTTAGAAGGCAACATTGGTTCCAATTAAATGAAATATATTTCATTCTTAACATCAAACTCTAATTGTCCACCCTACTAAATATTTAGAAATTTCCATCATGGTATTACTCTGCATCCTTTTTCCTAATTAAGTAATTAGCACAGATGAAGTAAGTCTTTAAGACATCTAATTGAAAGCAAAGTACCATAAACTTTCAAACCATCATTATGAAATACATCCTGAATCATATATTTACTTTCTAGGTGATTGTATGTATTTAAAGAATAATTACAATGTGAAATGGAAATGCTTGCAAAATTTGGAATATATAGGAACTGATTTTTTTTTATTTTGTAGTACACCTATAATACTTAATCATATTGACAAACCAACAAAAAAATTGGTTTTCTGATGAACGACTTGATTTTTTTTCCTTGACATAGTTTGACTGTTTATTCTAACTATGAAAATATATGGGAAAAAATGAACCTGAAATAAAAGCACTAAAATTCATTTGCTTGGCCTAAGTCATATTTTTACTTTTCAATCACTAAAATTACAGTGCAATGGAATCTCAGACATGAGCCTGAAAATTTTCCTGCTTGGTGCAGGTTGTTTATAACTGGGGTTCAAGATTAGGACTTACAAGCTTGGCTTCTCTGCCTAGAGGACTACAGGAAAAGGGAGACAATCAGCAAAGGTTAAGCAGCTGGATATCCCTATTCCAAAAGCAGGGCTATTTTACTTAACTAAGCCCTTGAATAAACCTGTGTACTTGAAATCCAAATGACTGGACTTGGTCCTGCTGATGTGTGCAAAGAGGACCCAGTATCATGTGTCTGTAATACATCCCTGAAATACTTGAGAGGGTCTCTGAGAGAAGTGAGAAGTAATATGGCTTCTGTGATGGAAAATTCTGGCTTTTGTTGCTTTGCAGAACTGTTGCAGGCTGGGTTCCTGGGGAAACAGACTGAGAGTTTAGCATGTAGTGACCTAGGGATCAATACCCATGGAAGGCAGGAGAAAAGAAAGGTGGAGAGAAATGGTGTGGTACGGGACCAATGACAACTTCGGTCATCTTTACAGGGAACTCTGGAGTTAAAATGTCCTTTCAGAGTGGTCATGCGTAGGGCAGAGAAGGCCAGGCCTTTGAACTGCCACACTGATCAATCACTGGATGTAGGCTGCCTTGGGGAAGGGCTGTGACCTCAAATGCAGCAGCCCTGCCATTGAGTCTCCCTGTTAACAGCACTGCTAGATGCCTGGGCACCAAATCCTTCATTACATAGAGTCTGAGTGTGACATCCCCACGTCTACCAAAGGGGGCAGATAATTATGGTTGTCAAAAATTTCAGACTGTCTTGAATTGAAATCTTGGTTTCACCATTTGTTAGTTTTGTGCCTTTAATTTTCTAAAGGCTACTGGAAAGAAAGTGAATGGAATGATGTCCTTTGGGCTCCAGATTAAAGGTTGAGGTTGAGTAACAATAAGGAACTAGGGATTTCCAGGTCAAGAAAAGATGTATTGGAAATAAGAGAGGTTAGCAGAAAATTGAAATGATAAGGGTTATGGTCAGCAACAAATTTTTATAGCCATTTATACTCTGCCTTTATCCTTTGCTTCTCTCAACGCTATTAACTCTATTATTTCAACTTCCCAACATCTCCCCATCTACACTCAGGTTTCTGAGCAAGGAGAAAGTTCCACAATCGTGGGCATTGGTGTGCAATTTTCTTTCTTTTTTTTTTTTCAGATTGATTAATTGATTTGTTCCTTTGAAAGACAGAGAGAGGGCAAGAAGCAAAGGGAGGGATCTTCCATCCACTGGTTCATTCCCCATTTGACCACTGCATCCACGCTGGTCCAGGCTAAAGCCAGGAATGAGGAACCCCATCCTGGTCTCCCATATGGGTGGTAGGGAATCAAGTACATGAGCCATCTTCTGCTGCCTTTCCAGGTACATTAGCAGGGAGCTGGATCAGAAGTGGAGCAGCCTGGACTTGAATCGGTACTTACATGGGATGCCACCATTGCAGGCTGCGGCTTATCCTGCTGTGCCACAACACTGGCCCTGGTGTCCAATTTTCTGTGTCTCTTTACTTTACATCCCACTTTCCTCACAATGACTTTCAAAATCTTCATTAATTTTTCAATTGATGAACCTTCCTTATCTCTATAAACATATACATAAAACATAAAACATTTTAAATAAAGGGCACCATATTTAAAATATTGCATGAATTCTTCCTTTAATACTCAATTTTAGACATCTTTAAGTGGAAATTTTAAAAAGAATTATAAAGTATTGGGGACTACTGTAGCCTTGTTAATTAGAACCTCTGGGAGAGGGACTAAGGGACCTTAGTCTGATCATCTGCAACATATTGCAATTATGCTCTAGGAAATTCCTCTGATTTCTATGATTTGACTTCTACAACCAAATTTTTATTTCCAACTTATATTTTTCCTCCAAGTCCCAAATTCACAAATTTCTTTTTTTTTTTTTTTTGGTGGAGAAAAGTTTTTATTTTAAAGCAGAAATAAAAGATCTGGAAACAAAGCAAAACTCAGTGAATACTGTACAATAAATAATGCTGAATCTGTTGCATTTCTGTGTACCTGGGAAGAAAAAGGAAAAATGAGAAAGGAGCAGAGATAATAGGGGTAAAAGAGAAACGCAGATATGGAACAAGTAAAACAGAGAACAGAAAATGGAAAACTCAGAAGAGAAATAGGAGAATTTTAGAAATAGAGAAAAGAAATTTTAGAGTATACTGAGTAAACTACAGACAGTTCACAACTTACGGTGGTTCAACTTACAGTTTCTTTTTTGACTTCATGAGGGTGCAAAAGCAGTACACATTGAGTGAAAGTCATACTTCAAGTTTCAAATTTTTATCTTTTCTTGAACTAGCAATATGGGGTACAGTACTCTCTCACAATGCCTGACTCTAAGTTATTGTAAGTATTCTGACAACATTTCAAGTAAGTTTAGACTATACTTTGATGTGTAGTTGGCTGGCTGTATTAAACACATTTTCAATTTACAGTTAATTGGCTTGTTGGAACATAACCCCATCATAAGTTGAGGAATATTTGTATCTGTCATCCCCTTGCTAGTTTGCCCTATTACTACTTTTTAGTGACTTTTTAAAATTCTAATCCTTCATTTTTTCTTCACCTGTACTCCATGAGGGATCCTTAGCAGGCCCCAGCTGACTCTGGGAATTCACACTTCCTAGGACATGAACCTAGAACTAGCCGTGCTTTGTTCAAGGATGCCCTAACTGAAACTTGATTATGTTATACAAAGAAATTGTACATAGAGAAGGGTCCTGCCATCATGTGGCCTCAGAGACAAATGGAAATAAGAATAAAGAGCCAGCTTTGCTGGCAAATAAAAGGCTCCTATGCCTATGGTCAGCATCCTTAGGATAGCTCTGAGCACTGTTTACTTAAGAGCAGTCCAGTTTAACTAACTACAAGTAAGTGTGTATGGGAAAATTAACAAATTTCAACAATAATTTCCTTCATGTTTGTCTCTGGATGTCTTGTAGACACCCTAAATGCTAGATGAGCAGATTCTGTAAAATATTGCACACTGGAGTAAAGACATCTAATTCTGTTTCTCCATACCCTATGAGATCTCTCTTAAAATGATTAAAGAGACTTAAAAATATGAAATATCTGCTTCTTGGGCAGGAAACTAAGGAAAGATGCTATCTACATGACAACAATTTTAGAATTTCAACCAAGCTGTAGTTCACATAGGAAGAGACTGAAGGAAGTTATTAACTGTCAGGTTGCAGCCCATGCTCCTGAGAATAAAAATCTCAGGATATAATTGCAGTAGATGCTGAGAGAATGCCACTAACATTACTCCTAGTTTGAGGCTGGAAGTGAGAATAGGACAGAGTGCAGCACCTTCTCCAGGATCTCTTTTGTTAAATACTAAAGGCATTTGGAAATGGCTTCCCCTAAGAAGATTCTCAGTGTGCTTGGTGGGCACTCATAGCACACATGGGTATTGTGGGTGAAGCACCTCAGGGATGTCCTTGGCAGCAGCATCAAAAAACAAGAAAACACTGTGGGAAATCCAGTATACAAAGAGCATAAAGACAAGGAAACATGGGAGCAAGCATTTGGTCCAGCAGCCAAGACACCAATTAAAACACCTGTGTCTCACATCTGAGAACCTGGGTTCAATTCCTGGCTCTGGCTCTTGATTGCATCCTCCTACTGATGAGGATCCTGGGAGGCAGTAGGTGATGACTCAAGTATGTGAATCCATGCCATGAATGTGGTTCAGGGACCACAGATGTAGTTCCCGGCTCCTGATTTCAGCCTGACCCAGCCCCAGCTGTCGTGGGCATTTGAAGTTAAGCAGCAGATGGGAGAACTCTCTGCCTCTGCCTCTCAACAACAACAACAACAACAACAACAAAAACAGAAAAAAATCCAAAAATACAAAAAAATTGAAATATATCATTTAAAAAGAGATATAACACTAAATGATAGGATCATACAACAGAAAAATAAAACCTGTGAGAAACAGAGAGGAATACATGAATCTTTTTATTAACAAATATTTAACTTTAATGAAAAAAGTAAAGTCATGTTCACAATTGAAAAAAGCATCATATTCTTATTCATATTCACATCATATTCACAATTGAAAAAAGGCTAAAAGTCAACAACTGAGAATGGGGGAAGAGTTAAAAGCAAAAGTTAATATAAATGTTCAAACAAAAGAACATGGGTGAAAATACTAATTTCAAAGTTTAAGGCAAAGAATTAAAGACAGGAGAGTATGATTTTATATTTATAATATATAATCTCAATGTAACTATAATAATGGAGCTTTATGCAAACAAATTGTACAGTATGACATAAATAATACAAATAACACTGGGAACAAAAAGGAAGTCATAGAAAGTCAATTTTCATAGGATATAGCTCACTGTATCATTGCCTTTGACAGATCAAGTACAGGCAAAATTCAAACTACATTTTAAAACATGGATTTAATAGAGCCATAATGCTTACCCACAGAGAATATACCATTTTTTAGATATCTACAGAATGCTTATCAAAACAAATTGTACATTACAAATGAAGAAATTTTAAAATGTAATAATAGTGAATATCACATTTTTATCACAATACAGTAAAACTGACATTATTTATAAATATATACATGACAATATCAAAAACTTTACTCACTGGGACCTGCATTTGGCTTAACCCACAGGTTAAGCCACCACCTGCAGTGCTGGTATCCCATATGGGCTCCACCTAGAATCCCAGCTGCTCCACTTCTATTTCAGCTCCCTGCTGATTCACCCAGGGAAAGCAACAGAGGATTACCCGAGAGCTTGGGACCCTGCACCCATGTGGGAGACCTGGAAGAAGCTCCTTGCTTCAGCCTGGCCCAACCCTGACCACTGTAGACATTTGGGGAGTGAACCAGTAGATGGAAGATTCTCTCTCTCTCTCTCTCTCT